AGGTATGAATACAATAACAAAAAGGTCTTTAATATATAAATATTTAGTCACTGAACATATTGATTTGGGATTTTTCCAAGAAACCCATTGGAGACAGTCAGATAAACAAACGTGGGGTGGAAAAAAATTCCCGCTCATTATACAGGCCTCAAATAGAGATAGAAAAAAATGTGGTGTAGCCATAATATTCAGTGAAAAAATAGAGGTAGAAATAATTCAACAAATACAAGATGTAGAAGGTAGATTCTTGATAATAATATGTAAAATCAATTCTAAGATATTTACACTTTGTAATGTCTATCTCCCAAATTATTTACCAGCTTCTCACTTAAGATCTATCTTAGAAAAAATAGAAGAAGTAAAAGTGGGAAACTTAATATTGGCTGGAGATTTTAATGCAGTTATCGACCCACAATTAGATAAAAAAAACTATGAAAGGAGTTAAAATAAATAAGATGGTAATTAAACAAGCTAAATCCTTAAAAAACATAAAGGATGAATTTAATTTGTTCGATATCTGGAGGATTCACAATCCAAATCTAAGAGATTATACACACTTCTCCAAAGTCCATTTTTCTTACTCAAGGTTAGACATGATTTGAATTGATCCTAATTTAATCGACAAAATTCAAAAAGTAAACATAAACGAAATAGTTTGGACAGATCATAACGGTGTAGTATGTGTAATAGAAGTAGGAAAAAACATAAAAAAGCCATATAGTTGGCGTTTAAATGACAGTTTGCTCAGTTTTGAAGCAAATAAAAAATTTATGGAAGTAAACATAAGTAATTATTTTAAAGAAAATAACACAGAGGATATTGATCCATCCACTTTGTGGTGCGCCTTTAAAGCGGTAATAAGAGGTTATTTTATTAAACTCCAAAGCCAAACTGATAGGGGTACCAGTTTATCTCACCTCTATGGTCAGTTAGGGAAGTTGACTCAAAACAATAAATATAATCCAACAGTTGAAAATTCTGAAGAAATATCGGCAATAAAGGACAAAATTAACCAAAAACTAATGGAAAGAACAGTTAAAAGCTTAGATAGATTAAAATTAAAATATTATTCTAAGGGCAACAGAGCCGATAAACTGTTATCACAAAAATTAAGAAAACAAAAGGGTATAAACAAAGTAGAAAAACTTATAAACAATGGAACAACTGTAGTAACCCCAAAACTAATAGGACAACAATTTAACGATTTCTATAGTAAGTTATATAACATTCCTCAAACTACGACAGAGGAAGACATAAAAAAATATTTAGAAAAAATAAACAATTTTAAATTAACAGAATTACAAAGTGAAGCAATAAATAAAGATATAACTATAGATGAAATAATGAAAGCTATAAATAATTTGGAGTATAAAACCCCAGGTCCAGATGGATTTAGTAATTTATTTTATAAAATATTTGTTTAACAATTTTAAGCATTCATGTTTGAATGTCACCTGTCAGCAGATGAAGGCCAGTTCGGGGGTTGAGTTGTAAAGGCAGATATTGTTGTTAATATATGAGAAGCATCTAACGGCAATACAATAGCATTCATGGCACGTCACCTAGCCTTGTTAGACAGGTCAGTAAAGTGTACAGCTTTGTTGTGGTCTATGTAAGGACATAGGTCGCATTATAGATTATACAGTAGGAATTTTGAGCTATGTGGTGCATTCTCTTAGTACAGCTAGCCTGCTGGATGGGGTAAGTATTAGGTGGCAGCCACTCGTCGTGTTTTTAGTGGCTCCTGGGTTGTTGGTGGTGTGTCGGGCAGGTTTTCTGATTTGGCAAGCCGAGTACGGCATGTAGAGGTGGGTGGAGGGGGTGTGTGGGCAGCAGGGAGACACAGTCCTGGGATCTCTGTCAGGTAGGCCTGTTCAAGATCCGTTGGGGTGGAGGGCGGGGAGCAGTTGTCGAGGAGTGGGGCGTTTGGAGGTCGAGGGTCCGTCAGGTAGTTTTGTCCTGTGTGTGTGTTTGCTACGGGTGTCCCCACTGTGCTAGTCGCTGTTCTTTAATGTTTGTAGGCGTCGGGGTGTTGTCTTGTTGGGGTATCACCTCTGTGTCTGGTGTCCGTCTGCGTCTGTTTAAGGCTCTGGTTAGCGTCGGGGATGTATTGGTCGAGCGGATACTGTTTCGGGTTGTGAGGATTGGGTGGTGTCTGGTATCGCAGTATAGTGTTCTTGGGTATTGGGCGCTTGGGCAATCTTGTTGGGTTGGTTCTTACCTTATCCGGCGTGTGCTGATCGTGGTGGGTCTTTTGTGAGTGCTGTGGTGTGTAGTCGGTCTCGCAAGTGAGGGGGCGTCTCTGCATGTGTAGGTTGTGTTCTCAGGTGAGCCTGTCGGCGGTGGGTCATGTGTTTCAATGTGTGTTGTGGGGGGGGGACGGGGGATGGGGATGTAGGTTAATGGGGTGAGTATATTGCGGGGAGCGGGAGGGTAGGGGGTGTCAGGTCCCGGGTCCCCACCCCAGCCCCCCCCCGCCTCCGGGGCGCGGAGCATCTCCAGCTCCGCGTGGTCGTCTTGGTTTGGTTGGGTCGTTGGTCCAGCTTCCGTATTATCGCCAGTCGGTTTCGTCAGGGCCGTCCCGTCTGCCTCCACTGCCAGGTGTTGTGTGGCCCCCGTAATTGGTGCGGCGGAGGCGAGCCATTGGTACCACGCATCGTGGTAACGTTGTATGTGTCCCGTTGCGGAGTGGATGAGCTCTTCGATGCGTCTGATGTCTTCCACCCTCGTCATCCATTCTCTGATTGTCGGGGCCATGGGTTGTTTCCAGTGCCCCGGGATAAGGCTGCGGGCTGCGTTCATTAGGTGTGGGAGTGCCGTTTTTTTAAACCTGTTGATGGGGATCTGTGTAAGTTGGAGCAGGTATGTTTCTGGTGTGAGGAGCAGGTTTGCTTCTGTTATGGTTGTGAGTATCTTGTGGATCTCTGCCCAAAAGGGCTGGATAAGGGGGCAGGACCACCATAGGTGGAAGAAGGATCCCAGTTCTCTCCCGCATCTCCAGCATTCCGGGTCGTTCGTGGTTTTCGTCATGCAGAGTTTTTCCGGTGTCCTGTACCAGTGGGAGAGCATTTTATATCCTGTTTCTTGGAATTTGGTGGAGATGGAGGCTTTGTGTGTGAGTGTAAACACCATTGTCCATTGTTGTGTGTCCTAGATCCCTTTCCCAATACTTTGTGAAGTAAGGGAGGGTGCGTTAGTGGTGGTTTGCATGCGGTACAGTATCGATATTGCGTGTGGTGGGGGGTTCATGCAGATGGTCTCGAATACAGAGAGCGTTCGCGTTGCCGAGTCTAGGGTCGGTATACTTCTCAGAAACCTCGTCAGTTGGTGATATCTGAAGCGTAGGAGCATATTGTGTGGAGTATTTGGGACCAGGGTGGTCAGGGGCACAATTGTGCCTTGGTCATAGACGTCCTTCAGTCTGCAGGGGGTTGGTAGGCCCAGGGTAGCCGTGTAGTGGGGGTCTGATGCAGGGATAAATTTCGGGTTGTGTAATATGGGAGACAACCTTCTAATATTACTTTGGACGGGGTACTTTTTATCCCTAACTGCTCATGATTTGTATGTGGCACTTTGTAATATGTTGTATTGTTCTTTCAATAGAGACCTGCGTGTCTTGAGCTGTTCGCTCTATTGTAACTTATGACAACTCCTTTCTTTAAAAAAAATAATAATTTTTTTTATCTAATAAAAATAGATTTAAGAAAAAAAAAATATATAATATATATAAAATATATATATTACTGGGGGGAAAAAAAACACAATGGGGGCGGGGCCTGACTGCCATGGTGGAGAGATGTGTCTTGCTCGAGCTCCTCTCCAAGCGTGACAATACAAGCAGTTATAGCCTTATTAAAGCTAAGAAAAAAATCTTTCCAAGCGACTAATATACCTCTCGACCAAGCTGCAGCCCCCTGTGGGGTTCCGAGACTCGACAATCTCCTTGGCGGCAAACCCTGAAACATGGCCTAGAGGGAACCAGGCTGGAGAGGCGGCCGATCTCCCAGGCCGGTGCTACTCGACGGCCCTCACCGCTGTACTGGAGCCCTGTTATCCCCCCTGGACCGGCGGGGGTGATCCTGGTCCACATCTGGCAGGGGGTGTAACTGCTGAACCCGTGGAGAAAGCATGCAACACATCATACGGCGGACACCATGCGGCACCCTCACTCAGTCGAAAAACGGATTGACCTGCTGTCCAGGCTCAACAAAATCTTTGATAACTTCTGGCAGAAACTAGAGGACAGGAGGCACCAGACTGACCCAGCACAGCCGCAGGTACACTCACCTCAACAACAGATTGCACCTCCGCAGCGAACACCCACGGCCTGGCGAGGACGAAGGCTCCCATCCCTCCGACAGCGGATGGCACGCAAGCGGAAACTACTCCAAGCCAAAGCCAGGACTCAAAGTGCCCAAGAAGCGCCAGAGGTGGCTTAAAGCAGGAGAGCATGGTGTAACGGTAAAGTACTTAAACACCCCGAGCCAACCCATATTGATGCCCGACTGGACCTTACTGGGCTCAAAGGCTCTGTGGAGCACCTCAACATTCTGGGACTATGCTCTGCCCCAATTAGGGGTAGGCTGAGAGGGGATCCCGGACCGGACACCAAAAACAAGACACCACTCACCTTTCCTCCCCTCACGGTGCCTTTCTGAGTGAACTGCCTCTCCACACTCCCTACTCCCTGGATATCTAAAGTATCATTTCTGTAGGCCTGGACTCACACACCTAGTTGCCTCGTACCTGGGGGCCTCCTACCGGACTCACGATACCTAATTAAGCATAGTTATAGTACCCCAGTTAACACCCTGTACCTTATCGTGATAACTCAGACACACACACAGCGTTTCTCCAAAGCTAAAAGTTTTTATTGCAAGCCATACTGTGTACGTCTTTTACTCCATCATATTTACTCACACAGTGTCAGGCTAGATAGCATGTACCCAGCAACTTTTATGCATACTACTGTTCTGACACATCTTGAGCCGGTACATACATTGTATAACTATCCTCATATTTATGTTACTTTAAACTAAATTTACTTTTGTCATCTGTTGTACTGGAGTGAAACAAAAACATATTGTAGGACAGGCCTTCCACTTTAAATTCAATGCACCCTTTTATTGAGGAGACCACATATAACACTTTTTTCATTATAAATAGCTTAAATCTATATGGCTTCTAAGCAGATATAAGCTTTATTTTTTAATATTTAATCAATAGAAATAATCCATGAAAAACGTCATCATCATTTACAAAATTCAAGACTTGGTTTACAATTGATCTCATCATATAACCAATCTGATACAAAATATTTTATAGAATGTTATGTCAATTTATTGCACTAGAACATGTTTGAATGCACCACTGCTTTTCAGAATCACCAATTGTAGAATTGTTAGAAAAGCTCTGCTAGCCTTTAGTGAACATTGTTTTGTACGTGATTCATCCATGTAAGAGAACATAGAATTCAATTTTTGCACATGGTAATTTGCAGACATGTTATCAACTTTAAAAAGCAATCCGATAGAATTACAGATGTAACCCTACTCGTATTGCTCAAGTTTTTTTCACAACATACATTTATCACAAGGAACAATATACTATAAGTCTGTATTATTGCAGGTATAAAGAAAATAAATCATGACATGCCTATCAGTCAATGCTTTTTGAGCATACTTCACAAAATTTATTAAAACTCATTGAGTGCACGTGAGTGAATTTAAAGTGTTCAACAAGTTCTCACCAGCTGGGTTCTGCATTAGCCCAGGTGGTGCAATATTTATATCTGCAGTATTGTAGCTGATCAGTCTTGATTACCAGTGTTGGAAAAACAAGTGTATGGTAAATGTTTTCGCTAGGAAACTACGTCAATGCATAAAACACTTAAATCACCTATAACTCGTGATAGCATTTTATTTATTTTACAGATGATGTTCGGATTTCTACTAAATGCATATTAAAAACTTAAAAGCCATCGCAGTCCCATTCAATCTTGCCACAAACGACCAGGGCATGCATTGGAAGAAAGACAGAAAGATTGTTTTACTTTCTATATGCAATTTACAGGTATATTTAATAAGTAATTCATCTTAATGTTTATTAAATAATGAAATTATTGAAAATATTAATAATTTTTATAATTGTTGTAAGTTTATAGGATAAACTACACTCGGAAGGGCTTCATCTGCACTAACACACATCATTCAACAGCCGTGAGAATGTTACACTGTGAAAGTGGAACTGTATCAATATTCTCTTTTTAATAGTTTCGAAAGGCCCAAACACATATTCATCCCTGAGCAATCTTCTTTTAAAATGAACTGACTTTTAAACATCAACAAGGCACACATTCATTACTATGTGAACTTTTCTGGCTACTTAACGTGTTCATGTAAATACAGTCGCTTGCATTTAACGTTTTGGTCTTTAAAGGGGCAACAAGACCTGCTTTTAGAAGAAGGTAGATGAAACCCTGCAAATCAGTGAATTTTGCCAACCGAAAGCTGAGTGACACGGAAAGCAAATCATTCATTGCGGGGGAGAAATCTGTACCCATGATTATTCTTTTCTGTAAACAGTATTACTAAATGTTCCTTTAATTGTGCGATTGTGGGGCTGTGCTTTTATTACAAGTTATCTAAGAATTATTTTTACTCCTACACAGACATGCAGTAAGCTGCTAGTATACAGGGTAAACTGGCAAGCACACCTTATCAACACAGAATAGAGAGCAGCAAAGACTATGTTTTAACCCTTTGATCTGTAGCAATATTAGTTCCTCAGATGGAAAAACAAAGTTAGCAAGATATGTTACTATCAAATACAGTATAGCAAAATACTACTGACATATAGATAAGCATTTATATAAAAGAGTAAGACCTTTAAAAAAATTAAATGGCTAATCACTGAAATTACATTTATAATCATAAAATTCACAATAAGTATACCAGAATGTTAAAGGTAAACTGCTGTTAGACAGAACTAACCAACTCTAGCACAAATTAAATGAGTTGTTTTGGGCTATCCAAATAGAGATTGTGACACATCCAAGAATGCTTTAAAGTGCACCAGTCATGAACATAACAACATTTTTTTTTCTGTTTAAAAATATCACATATCAAATAAAATTCCACATCCACACTGTCCTAGGTAAACTGCAAGCATATGCATAGGTTTACTTTTTTCAAATATTTATTTCTGTATTTTGACTGTAGTACCATTGCAGTCTTTACCACAATTACTCTGCCCCTGGGCAGCTAAGTGTGTAACCACCCATCTTGGAGGAAGAAAAGATCTTTATGTAAGCATATTTTTTTCACCCAAATATTTCTGAGAATTTTGTCATCCAGTATTCTAGAATGCGACAAGCTCATTTAAGATATTGGGGTGTCATTCACTTAAAATATATTCTAATACTATACTTAACATAGGCCATCTTACAGCAAGGAGAGCTAAGAGACAGACAAACAAATGAAATTAATGTTACTCTCCTCTAAATCAGGTTTGATATTGATACTCTTTAAACATCACTTATTTAAATACGAATAAAAAAATAATTGGAAATATCTTGTATTGCTAAAGGCAGGGGGATTAGACTTGTAATAAGAGGAATGGATGCCAAGAGATGTAAATGGTGCTACTATAAGTTATGATACATAGCTTAAAAATAGATTTAGAAATCCATTTGCAATTAACTATACAGCAGCAGCATATAAGGTTAAGAACAAAATTGATGATGGGAATTAAGAGATTTAATTTAGTGCACTGTTAAATGTGCAGTCCCTCTTCAGGTTATTTAATACTAAATGGCTAGAAGTAGGTTTGATTTTCTCATAGTTTTAAGGAGTTACTCAGAGCACCATTTCCACTTCAATGACTTGGAGTCTGTATGTACAGCATTTCGCTATGAAAAAATACACACACTGAATTTAACTTCTCTGCTGCAAGAGGTTTAACTTGGTAGTACCTGTGGGGTGTCACTAGTCAGCCTGAGAGTTTCGGGCTGGCTAATGCCAATTCTGTGCATATTTCAATTCATTGGCTGGGAGTAGTCAGCTGACATTCTCCGCCAATGAATGGCTCGTGGGACAGACACCCAGGTTCCGCAGAAGCTGCATGCACCATCACTGGCTAGAGAGGACCCTAGGCGTCCAGTGGACACCCAGGTAAGAGGGAAAACCAATTGCAAAAAAACGATTTGCCCCATTACTGGGAAACGTGGCCAGGGGACTCCTGGCATTATAAGCACTACAGGGGTTATGATAGTTGGGATAACCCCTTAAGGTCACTATTTTTGAACATGCAATATCTTTTTGAACTTTGTTTTCAAATAACACAGCTCAACATAAACTGATCCTAGTTTGAATTTGCTAAAAACATTAGCAAGATCATCAATTATCTGTGTAACAATGATCTACCAATACTGACTGAGATAAAAGTAGTTTCTCTTTTCTCTTAATAACAAGTGCACTTTATTTTCTCAAAATAACTGTTCAATTCTTGCAACTTTTTAATTTCCTTCTGAAATATTCTGGAGCTGTCTCAAACAGCCAGTCTGCATCCACAACACACAAGTCTCTCATGTAACATTTAGATGTATGAAGGAGCTCGTTGTAAATGACACAGGCTGGCTTGCAGTGGAAAAGAACTGAAGAAGGATGGATGGTAACAGGTTGGTGAGTGTCCACTGTGGTGTAGGTTCCATCAGGCTGCAGCTCTGCTGCATTCATAAACAGGCCGTGAGCCAGACACTGGCGGATATTTCGAGTGTCTGTTCTTGAAGACTCAATGGGCATTGATAGCTGTAAAATAAAGACAAATCAGATTCACTGTATTGGCATGGATATAAAAACCAAATATGGTAGCGACAGAAGCTTCTTGACAGTTTTTATTGTATTTACTTAAGGGGAAAGCATATGTGAATTTATTATTACAGATCAAGATGATGTTTTAACACATATCTCCCATCGTTAAGTAGGATGGGAGATGTGTTAATATACTTTACATCTGATTATGTTAGACATAACTTGTTTAGAAGTTTATATACTGAGAATAAAGGGGTATATACACATCTGTACATAAATAATACAAAAATAGTCAATAAATGTAGAAAAACAAGTAATATGAAAAAATTTGCATAAGACACAAATGGTTATCATCAAAATTAACGTACAAATACCATAAGGAACGTTTTGCAGCCGTCCAATCATAATACTCTTCTGTTATGTTCCGATTTCTGGAATACATGTTTGTTTGTACTGAAAACACATGCATACAAATCAACATGAAAAGGGGAGCAAATACCTTTATACAAATGTCCCTGAGCTGGGAACGGACCTCTGAAACCAGCAGCATATTCCTGGAGTTGATGAAGTTCTCTCTGCACCATTCCTACAATTACAAATGTAGAACACATTAAAAGGTATATACCTAATAAAACAAGATCGAAGTACATTTGCCATCCTGATAAAAATGTGATACAATTTCAAAACTGAAACTGGTGAAAAATGGTCCCATCAAATGGTAAATATAGCTTCATTGGTATAGTTTGGTAAGATATAAATAATCTTTTTGGAAATATACTGTCTGAACAATGTTACAAAACAATGTAAAGGATTTTACCTTATTTTTACCCAGGTTTTTGAAGGCGCGATATGTGTTGAGCAAAGTGATATGGTCACCTTCACTAGAAATGAACTTCTTCCTAGAGGCTTGTACTTCATCACGTTTAGCAGGAGGGTTATGGAGAACACTGTCCACTGACAGCAGAGAGACTATTGTCAAAATCTCTTCAGTGCAGTGAAAGTTTGAGGAAACCAGGATAGTCTGTAAGGAGAACAGCATTAGAGTGCTTAGTGATATAATAGATAACGTTTTTTTTTTTTTTTTTTAAAGTCTATATTTTTGAGTGCAGAGTAAATTACAGGCATAAACACTGACTTGTTCAACGCATGAGATCATCATTAACAGTTGGTATGGGTAGTCACGAGATGCTGTACTTTTTTTTTTTTTTTTTTAAACAAGTTTGAGATATGAGGAAGACAAGAAAATGATATAGTGATGATTTGCATAACTGATTAAGCTAAGCATACACATCTATTCGCTTTACCAAGATTAAGTTTATGCACAAAATACTTGCTAGATATGAAAGGTTGCTTGATGCAAATATATAGCAGTAGCTTTACCAACAGGCTAGTGTAGTTTGGTTATAATTGGTATTCAGGCTAGGTCTTGTGATGTCGCTTTAATGCCGTTTTCATCCCGGCCGTTAGGAACTACCAGTGCTGCCTCAGTGGGGAGCAGTCGTGGTGTTGCTGAGACCTCAAATACAGGGGGAGTTCCGCTGCTATCTGATACCTGCTCTGTCCGTTTCATGCAGCAGTGGGTGAGTGTCCACCAGAACAGGCAGCAAAACACAGTCCAGCCCTGCCGCTCTCTGAGCCGTTCGCCGGCTTCCCTGGGGTTGCAGCTGTGGTACGGAGTGCTTGTCCCGCTTGGTCCCCTGGGGACCGGTGTCAGCCGCGATGGGGGGTCCGGCATCATCCACACACGGCTGCCGCTGCAGGGGTCGTGCTGTTGCAGGCAGAGTGGGAGGTCTGTCTCGCAGCTGAGGTGACACGCTTGGTGGTAGACTCGGTACCTCCATATGGCAATGGCCGGTCTGTTGTGTAGCCCCATCCCCCCAGGGCAGCCGCTGACATCGCTGACTTGAGTGGCTGTGTTAGTGGGTAAAGGTAATCCCGCTTCCCTGTATAGCAGGGTCTGGAGGCAGGGGTTGCAGTGTCAGCTGTGAGTGCGGGGAGTGAGCTGTTTTTCCCCATGTCTCCTGTGCACATGGAGTCCGCCATCTTAGGCATGGCTGTTAGGCCCCCTAGCTTCAGCCGCCATGTCTTCTTTAGGGCCTTGGGGTGAGGACCAGGATCACCCCCACTGGTCCCCACTTAGCGTGCATGCTGCCATCCAGCTTGGCGGTCCGGCCCTCCCTGACCCCCCAGGTCTCTATCATTGATAGAGGAGAGATAGGGGAGGGAGAGCTGCTTGGCAGCAGTAACCCACAGAGAATCAGGAACTACATATACATCTAACCACTCAATATATTCAGGGGCTAAAGAGATCAGGAAGCAGAACAGGGCAGAGCAGGCAGCTCATTGCCCCGAATAACTCACTCTGTATTTGCTATAGAAGCTTGCAGTCACAGACCCTGCATGATTTGACCATTTGCTTCCCCCCCGCCCTCGACACAGAGCATAGTGGCATAAGGTATAGGTAGAGATATTTGAACAAATATTTAATTTTTAGTGTGTGTTTATGTTATGTATGCATCTGTGAATGTGTGTTTATGTATTTGTTTGTGTGCGTGTTTATCTATGTGATGTCTAGAGGCATATCTTGCAGGTGTTAAAGGATAGCGTTTGGACCTTTGGGAAGTGGTCCAAAGCCCCAAGTATCATTTGACACTAGCAATGCCCCTGGAATAAAACCATGAAAACCATCTAGAACAGCGTTTAATCATTTTTATGTGATGCTTGATTTCCTTTTAAATTTATATTGAAGATTTAGTAAATTCCATCACAACCCTGTTTATTTAGACACAGCCAGGGTAATACAGCAAAGCAAGAAAAATTAAGAAAGGTTTCTCTCTCTATGCTGGCTGCCAGGTACAAAAGACAGACCTCGTAAGGACAACGGGAGCAAAGATGGAGGTGCCCAGTTGCAGGATAAAGCAGTGCGGATTTCTACACTTAATTACACTTTTCACACTTCAGAAATACATATTTATAAAAAGTAAATATACTATCAGAAATTCTAGGGAAATGTCACTTTGGCTATGCACTAGCCAATTTATCCATTAATATGTATTAATAACAATAAAAAGTAAAAATCTAAATCACACACCTTTCCAAAATGACAATCAAGTGGCCTTCCCTATGCTATGCAGCTATTGGTGAGAGTCAAAAATCAGACATTTGGCGTTCAAGAACAAACGTACATTTTGTCAAGTACTTTATTTATATACTAGGAATTGTGTAAACCTGACAAAACAATTGCAAAATTGTGGAGATGGAAAGGATTTCCAAGTACACTATAGATTTTGGATATCTTGGCCTAAACGAAAACTTTTTTGTCAGTTCTCCACAGGTTCTAGTTTACTGAATACACCCCACTATGTAGAGACATGCTAAGGAGTTGAAAACAAAGTAATACTACCACAGCTACCTTGGAAAACTTAGGCTCTAATGGAAAAGCAGCCATCTTCCTCCCCAGTGGTGTTAGGATGACCTGGTCCTCTTTCCTTTCCACAGCACCCAACAGATCCAGCTGCTCAATGGCAGCCCGTACAGAGTCTGTGATATAAGCAAACAGGTTTAAAGCCACTATTAACTTTGTGTACTGCAATGTCCACAAATATCAAAAAAACATTTCTATCAATGTACTTTATTTCAAAAACAGACAAAAAATATTTTGAAAAAAATTTAAAATTGCTTCTCTCTCATTATGGTACTTTCACCAGTGAAATGACAGTAAAATAAATAAAAAATAAATAAAAATGAATTGCTGACTGAAAAGAAAAAAAAATGTCATCCCGCAATTTAATAGGAGCTTACGAACAGTAAAGTACTACATAGACAAGAACATGACAGTAGCTGGAATGCATTTTTGAAGAATACTGGTGTAAAGGGTTAAGCAGGTATTGGCTTGTATATGATTAATGCTTTGTACATACTCACCAGGAGAGGGCTTGGACATGAAATCAAAGGTAAGGATATTCGGTACTCTCAAGACAAGAAGCTGCAGCATCACACTGGCGAGATTACACCTGGAAAAACACAGAAAAACTTTCACAAATGTCCACTTTAACATTCTATCTCACTGAAATCAAGGCATTTGTTTTCAGTTTCAAAAAAACAAGCATTAACTTTGAAAAAAAAATTATGGATTCCTAATCATTTCTTTATTTTTTAAAGTTGCATATAGCAATCCCCTTACATAGGAATATATTACACACAGAAAAAGTGAAAACTCTAAATAGCTTTAATACATACCTCTGTATCTCGGGAATGGTCATTTTCTCAAGCATATCAAACTCGTCTTCCGTGTAGAGTCTGTAACATATCCCACTGTCCTCTCGTCCAGCTCTCCCTGTGCGCTGCCAAGCTTGTGCTTTAGAAGTTTTCTGAACAGCTAGCACCTCAAGACCACTCTCTAGGAAGACATGGAAAATAAATCAGTTGTATTGTTAAGACATTCATTATATAATGTTTGCAGAAATCTCAAAATATTTAAATTAAAAAATAAAACAAAAAAATTCCAAATGTAAAACACTGTCCCAGGGATGCTCAAAAAATAAGTAGGATATAGAGTCCAACAAAGAATATCTAAAGAGACATCATAGGGAAAGCACAGTAAACAGACTAATCTCCACAAAAAGGAATTTTGGAGATGTTAACTAAATGTTTACCCACTAAACCTGGTAATGTTCCCCAATAGAGGGCTCTAAAGGATGTGCAGTCATTCCTCAACAGATTGTTTAAATGTGGGATGTAAATCAGAGTAACAGGAGTCATAAATACCAAAATCTGTAAACAACAGCTCTAAATAACATCACTGTAGCAATTGTCATCGATAAATCCTGAGACTACCCTAGTACATTCTGAAGAAAGGTGTGAATAGGTATAACGATAGAGTAACAGTGTCATTAGATATACCCTACAATCCCGAGTACATGTAGAAACAGACTATCTTACATGGGTGCATTGAGAGAGAAAATCGCTCTAGTTACACCCAGATTCTAGGCACACACTAGAAGGTTGTGTGCCTACATATACCCCTACTACTAGACAATCAGAAATGCAGGGCAGAGAACTTGGAATAAGTGTGCATTAAGTGCTACCGTTGTCCAACAAGCATTTCGTCAGGGACACCCCTTGCATATATGTCTGGTCATTTGTATTTTAAATATAAGTGTTGTCTCAAAGATTTTATTATTTTCTTTAGCCTTCCTTCCTACTATCCAAACTTTACCCTGAGAGTAACATTTATTTTCTTTTTTTCCCCCTTTCTGGTTCTAGATTCATGTGGTGTTTACCCTTGCGGCCTTGCTTACCTTCTCCCTGCACTTGGTAGTGTCCTCTTCTTCCTAACCTAATATTTAACATATGTGATATTTATTTAATTACATTTCTTCCTATGATGGTAAGACTATTATCTTAGATGTGTTTTTTTCCCTGAAGGTCTTCTAAGGCTCAGTCAGAATGGGTAATCTTCCAGCATATTTGTCATTTTCCTCATACAGGCCGCATATTTACACAATAACTTTTATACGAGACACAATTTGAAGAAAATCATGTGTATGGAGAATATACAAAGGATGACGGTGACAGCGCTTGAGTTATGGAATCATACCTGGGTTGTATTTCTTTGCCTTCACCATGCCTGTATCTACCACATACTTAATTCCTGGAATTGTAATAGAGGTCTCTGCAATGTTGGTGGAAAGAATGACCTTGCGGTGACCCTGATAAAGATAAAAAACCACCATAATTTAATTTGCATTCTGACATCCAAAAACCAGTGTTTTTGTGTACTGTTGTACTGTACTGAGTGTACTGTTTGCACTTTGGTCTAAATTAAAGAGTTACAAACACATTAGTTACAGAAAAATAAAAACAAACCACAAGGCCATTAATCAACCTGGAATGTGCTGTGCTGCCTCATTAATACTCTACTGAGATGTACACAACAGACAGCAGAAATTCCATTCCTAGAGAATCACAACATTGTCAACATCCAATTTTTAAATTCATGGTCAATTCATGCTTCTTTCTTACCTTACTTTCACTCTTATTCTCCATCAATAGTGAAGCACTGGAAACCGTAGCAGGGGAAAATGCCCCTTGGTCACTAGCATACTGGTGGGCAATAGCCTCAGAGCACCACCCTTTTGCTGAATTAACGTAGCAGGAGGTGAGTTGGAATGTCTATTGATAGAATACTGCAGGAAAGAGTTAGCGGAGTAAAACAGTCATCATTGATGGGACACGAGTCAATGAAGTTGCAAATTGTGCAACTATTGAAGGATGATGAAGGTTTGCAGGGATAGATGGTGTCATACTCTGCAATTCTATCAGGAATTAACCAACAAATAATGCTGCCATGGTTTGCCAGGCAAGTAAAATTAATACTTACAGTCATTTTATCTTCCTGGATATTATCTATGGCTGCATTGGTTTTTCTTCCATATGTGTTTTAGTGTTACACAGACTAGGGGCCAAAGTGGAGGTAAGTGATATGGAAAACAAATAAATGCAGAGCTAACCTACAGTTAACGCTGCCATTGAGAATAGTCAGGAAAGGAAAATTAAGGCAAATATGACTACATTTGTATTAAATAAAATTCATGTAGTTTTCTGGAAATATTATCCCAGACTGTTAATAGACTGCTGTCACAGTCTAGTCCTTGGAGGTATAAAGCCAGCAAGGATTGGCCTGCCTGCTTAACATCAGCAGATGTTAAGCAGCATAGAGTCAAGCATTTCCTTCTGGAAGAATTCTTTTTAGAGAAAGATTGTTGACAACATTCTTTGGTGTTTAAAAGGATAACTATTTTCAGCTATCGTCCAATATCGTTCTTAAACAGAGATTTTAAGTTCTTGGACGACATGTAAGCAGCAGGCCGTGTGGTCCAAAATGGCGCTGGCCAACGACCTCTCGGAGGAGGAGGAGTTTGCCTCGGATTTCTTGGAAGGAGCATCTTTTGGGCCCATGCCATACCGCAGAATTAAACCACAGAAAGCCGGGGACCCGGTCAATGCAGACCAACTTAAAAAGATGCTGGCGGAGCTAGTCAAAGACCTGACGGCAGACATGGACTGCTATAAAGAGGCCATTGAAGGGGCCGCGTCAAAAATCACACTGCTGGATGCTTGCTCAAGTACTCACGACACCAGAGTCACCAAGGTAGCAGACCACCACATCAGATAGATTGGATGCTTTAGAAGATCAGAGAAGGCGTTACAACCTGAAAGTCCAGGGGATACCAGAGTCAGCTGAAATCGCTGACCTACCCCACTACATAAGGTGCTTTTCTTGGAGTGTTTCTCCCACCAAAGCAGGTGAAATCCTTGAAGCTGGATGGTAAGTTCCGGCTACCAAAGCCAGCCAGAGCGCCAGCAACTGCAGACCTCATACTTGGATTTCAAGCCCTCCCAGATAAAGCCTCAGTCCTTGCGGCTCTGCGAGGGAAACCCTCCCTCTGCTGATTGAGGGCTCCTCGCTAGCAGTATTCACAGATCTCACCAAGAGCACCCTAACTTGGCGGAAATCATTGCAGCCTCTCCTGCAACACCTTTGTGCCAGAGAGATTTCCTACAGATGGTAGACACCACGAGCTGTATTGTTTACTCTTAATGGGACTTCCCACAGAGATATCAGGAGCTGCAATCGGACCTAAAATCAAAGGTTATACTGCAGGCCTTACTGCCAACTGGAATAGGCCTGTCCCGGCTGAACTCGGCAGCCATTCATGAATTTACTCCGAGAGAAAACCAGAGAGCCTCACCTGTCAGGCCACCCACCTGAGGAAGTAGAGGCTGATCCACCCAAGCGGACTCTGAATTCCACCATTATCATACAACATGTCTACCACAGAGTTTGTTTCGGTTTTTTTTTGTTCTTTTTAATTTTTCTTTTCTCGTTTTTTTTTTCTTTTTTGCCAAGTTTACTTTCCTTGCAAAGTTTAACAACCTAATAGGCGGTTACTCCACGTAGTCTCATAGGCAAGCACAATGAGCTTACAACAAGCGGAAGCTTTACCACTTAGTGACTAATGCTAAACGCACCTCATTGCCAAGTAGCCACACTATTATCTTTCCCTCCCACCCTCCCCTGCCGGTTAAAAGATTGGCCCCTCTACACTACTCACATAGTCTTTGGGCAAGGGGTAAACCGCTCTGTGGTTATCACCTAAACTGGAGATTCACACAGGGCTAACTGGCTGTTTTATTTTACTACATCTTTCATAATGTACTTAAATAATATAAAATTTGCAATGTTACTGGATGCCTACAAATGTCTCTTGTGACGGAACGCCTGCCACCCCGACTGGGTGCCTCAGTCAAACGATGCTCCTAGTGCTCGCCAAGGAACATCAGCACCGCACTCAACACCACAACCACTGCCAACCCCACGAACCGCGGCAGCTTGGTTGGGGTTTCGCCGTCCTCCACCCACCCTGGACCCAAGACCGGGTTCCAGCTTCCAGTGGGTGAACCTCTCCTAAATCCAGAGAGCGGGAACAAGGAACAGCTCTTACAAGAGCTTACTCTGGGGAGTATAGTGATTATAGCAGTGTAGGCAATTCTCCAATCCCCCAAACATGAGCCAAGACTTCATGAAGGGGTATAAAAGGTCTGTTTACTGAGCACAAAAGGCCTTTCTTTTATACACAGTTTCCAACAAGGTTACCACCCACGTGGACCTTGTGGTACACAGGACACAGGGTTACAACAGCCAATCAATACAGTACAGCACAGTCAGACACTCCCAGCTAAGGCACACAAACCCTCCCCTCTGCCTGTGATATAATTACTGAACACAATGGGCTAAGTTAATTATCACAGGCAGAAAATATACAGTTTTACACAATATTCATAACTTCAAAACTATACACGTAATTTTAATAAAAGTTATATTTTCCGAACCAGCATAATCAGTAAACAAACATATTCAAAAGTCATACGACTTGGTCCAGTGGTTCGGAAGATAGCTGGAAGTCATATTTGACCGACTGCAAGCATCGCTTTCATGCCCAAAACAGTTACACAGATTTAGGCTGTGCAGCCGGTCTATATTCTCCTCTATCCTGGAGATAATTGGCTTAAGTGGGTGTGGTATGCCAATTATCTCCAGGTACAGGAAATATCTCCAAGTACAAAAACTACATAAAAATACGTAACTCTTTTTAACCTATATGTCCAACATATCCCCAGATAGCGTGGATCTGAGCGCTCAATATGTCCGAGATGCGCTCAGATCTCACGAATACAGTTGGAACACCATGTGGTTAAGCAATAGCAAGGGCTGATGAGAGATTGAGGAGGGACAAAGCAGCCAGTTTCAACTGGTCTGGCAGTGTCCCTGGGACAACGCCCTGCTGGAGAACAAAAGGACAGGAAAACGGTGGAAGGGGAAGAGGCACATTTTCCACTTGGAAGTCATTTTTAAGCATGTCATTTTGCAGGGCCCATATTCTTGGGGCAGAAATAGTGTATTAAAACCCATAAGCCCAAATATACTTTTTAAATGGCAATACACCCCAGGGGCCATAGTCACAGGGCAAAAGGCTGGCAAGCAGGCCTCTCCAAAAGTCAGTGGCAAAGTGTAGTTCGTTACATCTCTGAATGTTGATAATTAGGCTAGCAACAGCTGTTGTGGCATTGCTTGCCTCTCTGTATTCTATATGCACGACAAAATAAAGATTAAAAAAAAATAAGATCAAAGTCCCCAGTAGAGACGCAAAAGATAATATGATTTGTCATCTTAATATGGCCCAGCAATCACATTGTTCTATGCACCTCCATTCTACTGATGCAGAGAACATTTTTAATAGGTGAATTAGCTTTTCATGCACATGGCTCTACATTAAATGGGACTTAGGACAACGGCTGCACTTGGATTAAAGCTTTATACACTTTTACAACAGCCAGGGTTTGAGTTTAACAGACACCCCACTGCCCAAATTAAAAAATAAACACTATTTAGTAGATATACTCCCATGGAAAACAAGCATTTAATTAATTATGCATTTTTTTTCATTGGGGGTATATACAGCCTGTAAATGGTGCAAATCACATCTGCAGCCTTTACATGCTCTCTTCTTCCCCAAACCCATGTTTTCTGTGATTGCCTAATAAAAAAGACTTCACAAAACAGCTCAATGATAAGTCTTTGCAAGGCAGGTGCTCTGAGCAATGGTCTGTCTCTTGAGTTTAGCTCCACTGAGCTAACAAAACTAAGAAAGAACAGGATTGTCTGATAGCCAACGGATTTAACAAGATTTTTTATTTAAATCTGTACTTTTTGTAAAATGAAAACAGATACACCCGTAACACATGAAGCACTTCAGTAAGCTAAAGTGCATTAGGGGTCTTGAGTGTCCCCTATCATGGGCCACTTACAGATGAGGTCAATATCATAAATGGAGCAGGTGAAGTTATTCCTGGTCTCTACTGCTTTTTGAACCTTAGAACGGTTTCTCATGGCCATTATTTTCTAATTCAATTGCATAGGACCTAGGGTGTAGGCCGATGGTTTACTGTTATGTTGAACAGCCTTCCATTTCTCTCTCAAATATTTTGAAGGAGTTTCAAAGGTGCTTAGCTGAGCTATCTTAAACTTAACACTGACAAGTCTAAGACTGTTAATGTACTGTTGCCCAAACTTCTTGTCTGCAGATACAATTCAGTTGCCCTCTTTGAATTCTGCTCTCTTGAATTATGCATGGAAGGGCAGCAGGCCTAGAGTTAAATTCTATCATCTTACTTATTTTCCTGAAGCAAGGTGGCTCATTTGGATCAGGTTGTGGAATGGCATACATTTAACACGTTAAGTTGCTCCCATTTATTTATACTCCCAGTTCATTCTTAAAAATTTGGTAAACAGTTGTCACTCTCAACGAATAACCCTGCCTTCCCAACAGGGTATTATGAGCGCACCTTTAGATTCTTAGACAGGGGTCCAACCCTCTTTGTGAGTACCCTCAGTTCGGATGAAGACATGTTGCCCTTACCATATTTGATCCAAGGTAGACAACCAATGTTATTGTTATAGATTGCTTTCTCCCTAGATGATCTTACACAGGCAACTTATGACCTTTGATCAATACTGTTTTTCAAGCAAAACCATTGGCTCAGGGTATATTGACCATTTATAAATTGCTTTTGCTTGTGACTCAATATCAGCATTTAAATTTGTGTCGTACTAGGACGGTGCTCTGCAGATGTCCTTCAAGGACCAAGACTGGTCCAAAATGAACATTTTGCATTTAAGCACTTTATGCTTTAAAACCCAGATTATTAACTATAAGATTATGATGAATTGGTATGACATTCTCCAAAAGTTGTAAATTTTTCACTGAAAACTCAGGCCAGTGCTGCACGTGCTGTGCAGCGCTTGGCTCATAACTACATCTGTTTTAGAAATGTCCTATTCTAGTTCCATTCTGGAAAAAAAGGTATTCAAAGTTATGACTTCACTTTAAGACAAAGGGGTGGTTTTTGCCATTAAATCTTACTACGCTCCATACTCCTAAATACATATTTTAAAAAACACAACATTTCTAACAATTGTTTAAAGAGACGCTACACATGGACTACTTTCTCTTCGAACACGCATTTTGGGGAAAATTGAAGAAACAGATTAATTTTATTAGCATCTTAAGTAGCTTATTTCATTACTGTTTTCATTGCTCCATCCATTCCAATTACTTTAATATGTGCAAAAATTAAAAAAATGCTAAATTACCTATTATTGGGAAAAAACGTTTTTAGAATGTAGAGAACCAGGACTGCTATTTGTCTATGCATAATAAAAACTACAGACCTCAAACAATGGCAGCATTTACATACAGTAGAAGTTTAATGTATATTTTAAGGACTGCAATGCAAACAATGGTAACCACCGTATACAAACTCACCTTTGGTGTACTCTGAAACACTCGCAGCTGTTGAGAATGTGGTAAAGAGGCATAAAGAGGCATCACCATCATCTGTGGGCAACCATCAGGGAGGTGCTTTGCTATGTCCCTACATGTTTTTGTCATCGCTTCAATCTCTTCCTGACCCGTCAAAAACACCAAAATATCATGAGATGGCTGTGCCTCCTTTGGGAACAGCAAAATAATTCATATAAGCATCATGACAAGTAAATAAAAAGGATCATGAGAACAAGGGGTTAAAACGTGTATACTGTTTAAAGACAAGCATGTATCAATAAATTTCCCTCTACATTTTGTGTATCTAATAGATAAATCATGGTTACTCAATTCCAGTCTATTGGAGTCTATATGAGTACATTATGATATTTGTAATGGGAATATTAAATCTCATTAACTAGACCAGGGCTCAAAATTTCAACTTGCCGCTAACAAATTGCAAGTGAAAATGTAGCAGAAATTCACCTGTTGAGCATACTATGGCTTGCAGTGGCCAGTAACTTAAGGCCTGGCTAATAGCATAGGAGTTTTCATTTTTAATTATGGAACATTGCTAATAAAAAAAAAAAAAGAAATTATAAAATGAGGCCTGTATGTGTGGCTTTCAAAGTATGATGGGAGGGAGTGGTATATGTTAGAGACCATCTGTATGTGAAAATATACTATAAACACTACAAAAGGAGGGTCTTCTAGGTGTTTGAGTGTAAAGATGGCTATGTGTCAGTCCATCATCGTTATTAATCTCACTGGTGGTAACTGATGATGCAGAGATGTTTGATACACACACACACACACCTTTATTACTGCTCTCTTGCAGCAAATAATACTGTGTGATGTAGTCAGTTTGCTTGCAATGGAAATTCGCTGTCACTATGCTATTTTAACTTATTTTGTCATACTACTTGACAATACATTTATTCTTAAATGCTGAAGATTACATGAAAATCTCCAGTGGTTAGTGGGTCATGCAACAGCTACTAACAGCTGACCTGGAATGACCAATGGTAAATTTAATTACCAAAAAAATTGATTAAAAGGGGTAATAGGTTATAAAATGCATGATAATAGGATTTCTATACCAACATATTAACCACAGTAGATATAGAATTGTAGTTGTTATGATACAATTTTATAGTGCACATCTTGGAACAGGGAAGGGGTGATTTTTTTGGTTTGCACACTATGTGCTGAAACGGTAATAATCATACAGAACACTCATTAAACCAGAAAAGTATAGAACACGTTATTAGTGCTCAATAAATGTCAGTGAAGAGATTCAGGCTGTAGACGGCTAAGCAAGTGTTTTCATTGTGGTTGTTGCAGGCATTCTGTCACAAATGCCGAAGTAGTGTTTGCTTTTTAAACACGTGTATGCTTGTACAGCATACTCGTGTTGTATGTAACATCTGTTGCAAATTACTTAATGGGAAACTAAGAACCTAAACAATCTTAGCGTAACGTTGTAGGAATACAACTCCCATGATGCTGTGCATGCCTTTAGAATGACAAAGCATCATGGAAACTGTAGTTTTAACACATCAAGGCACATCTCCAATTGGGCACACCTATCCTACAGTCTCACTGCTCAATTCTCTGCCATTAAGAAGTTAAGCCACTTAATTGCAGCTCCAGCCACACCTCTTTGGCTTAGACTCACACAGCCTCTACACATTTCCTGAAAACATAGTAATCATTTTTATGCTACCTTATTACACAAAGTTAAAAAAAAAAAAAAACAAGTTCAGTAAACAGGCTGCACTGTCTCATCTGACTGAAAATAAAACCATTTTTTTTTTAAATGTATGCCGTGTCAGTCACAGCTAGGGGAGAAGTGGTTAGGGGTACATAAACAAAAACAAAAGTGATTTAACCCCAAAATGACAAAGATATGAGCAGTGGGACAGCAGGGACATGATCTATACACCAAAAGAGATTTATTAAACGTATGCTGTTTTGGTGTCACTTTAAATTGTTAAATAAAAAACAAGATAAGTTACATCACCAAATATTGCACACTGCTAGCAACATCATTAGATTATGTTTCACATTCGTTATTGTGATGTGTACTGCTTTTGTTGCCCAAAGACAATAGATGACATCTTCTGTTCAGTCAAGCAAGACTAGTAGAGTAGTAGTTTCCTGACCTATATGTTGCAAAGATTACGTGGTTTCAGTCGCTCAACTACCGATAATATATACATATACAGATATCGCATTCAGATTTTACACCTATCTCATGACCGCAGAGTCTGACAACCAATACCTGATGAATCTGGAAGACTGTGACCAGCGCAGCTTGAAGATAGTCACTTTGTGACTGCTTGCTGTAGAAGACTTGGATGGGATGCTGTCTACCTTCGAGGTAAAGAACCGGAGCACCGTTAAAGTACTGAGAAAACAAATCCACGTCCATTGTGGCAGACATAATCATTACCTGTAAGGTATGAAAACAGCAATTAATGGGGTGCCAGACGAGGCACATTGCAGTAATGGCACAACACTGGTAGTAAGCAGAGAGCAATATACAGCTCCTCTACTATCATAACATACTATTTAATGTGACCCTGTCATAAATTATATGGGTTTTCAGTTATCTTACCACTTGGCTTGACTCACATTATACAATTAAGTGTTTCTCCCTTAATACAGTTAAAAGCTCATGTTTTATTGTATTTCCATTACCCCTGTCTCTTGTTGAAATCACAAATCATATTTTCAGTGGGTGGTGTTGTTAGACACAATTCGACTGCATAACCCCATTTGGGAAGTACATACTTCCTTCCCGTAACAGGTTAAAAGTCACCAATACCTTATGTTGGCTTTTTTATATGTAAATAAAATATCTGTTCTCTGTCTCCATTGTCATGCCAGTTAATTCTACAATAAATAATTCTGGCACTTTTTATTGCGCTGCTGCACTCACACAGAGCCTGCCCCTCATCCTTCCTTCACCTTGCAGGCTTTGCTTTCCCTTATGCTGAAGGGCAAGCAGAAATGATGCCCAAAGGAGGATTTCCCTTGTAACAAGACATTTTTATCTCTGTGCTGATAACCACAGACTGAATTGATTGTTTTGATGTACATATGCAGGCTACTCAAACAAACAAAATTTGTTGTTTTTTTAATTCAAACTAACTTATTGAGTATTGTTTATTCACTAGTTGCTTTGGCTAGCAATACATATTCACTACGTTTCTTGTAGTAAAGAGATCAGCCGTCCGCACATTTTTCGGATAAGCGATCCATTTGATTCTCTTTGAATGGAGGATAAAGTGGGATTTGCTGAAGCTTTCATGCAATAATTAAGAATTTAAATAACTTTGTATGATATTGTCAAAATACCTTTTCACCCTTTTAGATTAAGGCTGTTCTTACTTTGAGAGGTAGTTTCCCAAGCTCCCGTCTTTTCTTTTGTGCAGCTTTTACAACCCCAAAGAGCACATCAGTATGCACTGTTCTTTCGTGGGCCTCATCCAAAATGATGACACTATATTTACGTAGAAGTGGGTCTCCAATCGCCTCACGGAGCAGCATTCCATCAGTGAGGAACTTGATTTTTGTCTCTTCTGATGTGGCATCTTCAAAACGTACTGTGTATCCCACCTGACAAATTAAATTCATGTTTAAGTATGATCAAACAAGAAAACTGGGTCACTTTTACCTAGCAAAATGGAGGAAAGGATGACCACAGAGGGGGCAAAAAAAACACCACCACATTTACAGGGATCAGACTCCAAGTAGCATATTTCAGTTAGTAAAAATTAAACATCAATTCACACCTTTATAATGTGTGGAGCTTTACCAACCATAGCAAAAAAGACAACTCAAACCTTGTGGTAAAGAGAAATCACTAGCAATTGTATAAGGCCAATGTACAAATAGATGGCATACATTGCTGTGACAGTTCTCATAGCTGCTCTAACCTTCACAATTCTAGCGAGTCTAGTTCTGAATTGCTCAGGTATCAACAATTATAATTAGAGCTTTGCATGGGACTTTATTTTACAAGCAAAAGGAAGTATAAAGCAATCTAAAAATATATGAGAGCATTATATAAATTAAAACATACATCTACTTACATGGACAGATAACTTTTTTTTTTTTTTTAAAGCCTCATTTAAAACAGGGTGACCAGATCCATCATGTTTTCAGGGACAAATAAAATGTCATATTTATGAAAATGTATTAAAGGGTTGCCCTGCAGTACATATAATGCATATTATGCAGGATTCTTCATTGCCCTATTGCTTAACTAATACACCTTCTTCTGAATTACTACAGAGAAACCATTTTCATGTGCTGCCATCAATATGTATATGTGATATGTGTCCCTGAAAACATGGTGGCTATGGTAAACACTGCATTTAATGTAAAGATATAGCCATACATTTTGGCATGGCAATATTATCATAGTCACAAAAGACAAGACAAAATAGCAAAACTAGTGCTCATTATTAATATTTGTATGTGTGAAATCAGATTTCACAAGCAAAGCAGAATAAGAGTATTCCATATATATATATATATATATATATATATATATATATATATATATATATATATGGAAAAGATCATAAAGAAATCAGAAGAGAAATCATGAGTGAACAAGAAGTTTAGGGGACACAAAGGGACCAAGGAAGCAATATGACAAGGCAGGGGTGTGCTGAGAAGGAATCTAAGAATCTCAAGCAATAGAACTAAGTTATTGTTAGCTTGAAAATTATTATGGCCTCCCAAAAGTGTCTAGAGGCATATCAGCCACATCTCACTGACCAGGCCCACCAAAGCCCAAAAGGTCATCTAGGTTTGCCATATTATTTGCTTCCTAGCATTACAGTTCTGAACTGCCCAGGTGGCTAGGATCATTCTGAGAGGCAAAAAGTCTAGGTTCACTTTGTAATAAAATAAATCATGAACTAAAACTTGTAAGAGACCAGAGTTTGAAATACCCAAAAGGGCATGCTTTTGAGTTGCTGTCTTTTCTCTGTTTGTTTATCAGCAAATTAAAACAGAATGCAAAAGGAGGCACACTGGTGATTAAAAAGCACAGCAGTGAAGTTACCGGTACTTACAAGTTTACTTAGTTCCGTTTTCTTCTCCTCTGAGACCCTAGTTGCAAGGGTTATAGCAGCCACCCTCCGAGGCTGTGTCACACCTATGATACCTTGCCGCCCAATGCTGGCTTCATAGAGGTACTGAGGGATCTGAGTGGTTTTACCAGAGCCTGTCTCACCTGCAAAATAAAACACCAATATTTACACAAAGTAGAACATTCATCAGACTTACAGTTATTTAGTAATTACTATTAATGGTGCTTAAAAATAAAGAAAATTGTTACTTGAAATCGAAGAGGCCAATGCTGTACAGCAAATTTAAACGCTCTAGAGATTAAAATTACTGTTCATCATTGGGCTATTAATGTTGTTCTAATAAAAAGTTTCATGTTAACATTTTTGTGGTTTTATTTCTGGTGCGTTTTCTTTGTATTCCAATCAAAATATTCCTCATTTCTCCTTATCTGTTTGTTGTTGTTATTTTCTTTTTCGGGGGGGTGAAGGAGAGGAAGGGGGGAGTGTTTACAAATCTGCCACTTTCAAATGTATAAAAAGTATTTTCTTTATTGCCTCTGGCAGGTTTTCAGTATCGTTTTTGCAAACGTGCCTTTTGCCTAAAACGTATTACTTTTTTTTCTCTAAATTTGCATATGCTTTTTTATTCCTCAAAAGATATTCTAAGAATCAACAACTTTAGCATAGAATGACACTATAATCACCAGAACAACTACAGTTTAATGTGTTTACATTACTGCCTAGTAACACCTCCAGTGGTCGTCACTCAGACTCCTTAGTTAGTGCTGCAAATGACGTTCAGCGCCTCCATGAAGCCGATGAAGGTTCCTCATAGAGATGCATTCATTCAATGCATCTCTATGAGGAGATGCCGATTAGTGCAGAGCAGCATTTTGCTGTATAAATCAAGATTGATCATCTCAGCCATGGAGGTGGAATGGCGCAGGGCTAGCCGCAGCAAATCTGCTTGATGGTGGGGGAAAAGGTGAGTTTTACACCTTTTTTAACCACGAACCTCTAGTTTCAGAACTATAGTATCAGGAATACACATTTGCAATAGGTTTGACAACTGACTTAGAATCTGCCATGTGCATGTGGAGCTGAAAGCTTTGCAAGGACCTTCTGTTAGCTCCACTGAGCTAAACCTGGTCATGCAAGGCGGACTAACTAGCTGAAAGCCTCAGTTAGGCACTCTCAATGGTTACATTCTGCCAAGAACTAGAAACTGTCAGATTGACAGCTACTAGAGATTCCTCATTGAAAAGTTCAATTATCTAAAGTCTTTACGTTCGGCAACATCACGCATAGTATGATGCTCCCGAAAGCCATGAATAATTCCCAAACAGAAGCAATGGATTCAGAAGTACTCCACTGACCGTGGCAATGCATTCATAATGCTTCTCAATATGAAAAAAAAAAAAGCTAGTGTAATAACTTTTACTTACACTAGAAGATGCATTTTGCCACCTCTCACATATAGTACACATACAAACACAAAGATCATTGATTTAAAACATTTTTGCCACACAACACTTTTCCCCTCAACCATCACAAGCGACAAATGAAGGCTTGACAGAAGCAGATCCACCTATTTGTCGAATGTAGGAAAATAGTCACTTTGTCCAATGTTATCTTTTGACTGGGTTGGCATTTCGGTTAAATTCCAACACAGTCTTTATGAACTCACAGTAACATACAGCATGTATGAATGTATCAGTGAGCTCCTCCACAATAATATGCACATTGGTGTATCACAGAGCTCCACAGCTACGAAGCACATTATAATATATTGTACGACAGTATCACAGAGCTCCACTGTAATAAATCTCACAATATTGTAAAGTGTGGAGGCTGTGTAATGTGTGTGATGGATGTGTTGTCTGTGCGTTTTACATGTATACTGCCAGTTTCATTCCCATGTCTGGGAATGTGTATGTCAGAATGTGTACATATCTGTGTGTTCCTGGGAAGTGTATGGTTGGAATGTGTACACAATCTGTGTTTATGTTGGAATGTGTATACAATCTGTGTTTATGTTCATATCTGTGTGTTCCTGGAAAGTGTGTGGTTGGAATGTGTACATATGTGTGTGTTCCTGGATAGGAATGATAGGGGTTGGCCAGTGGTTTTCGTGGTGACCCAATATTTCTGTCCAGGACCAGTACTGTATAAAGCCTCCATGGTAACAGAGCTGGCCCCATTAATGACAGCAGGGTGTTTTTAGCCTCTCACCGATGATGACCGCACTGTCCAGCTGCCGGAGCTGTCCTATGAGCTGAGCTCGGACATGGTAGATGGGGAGGCTCCGCCGCTGCAGCTCCATGGGCACCGGGGGCTTTCTGTGTCCGGGCTGCATGGCCGCTCTCCGGCTGGCGTGAAATGGAGGAGAGCCCGGCTTGAATCTCTTGGCCGGTGGGTGATCGGGGTCCTGAGACATATTATCCGCGGTGACCGGAACTCCTCAGGCGATGTGCCGGCTGCCGTGGCCCCGGGTACGCAGAGAGCAGCCCGGGAGTATCATGTCGGCACGAACGTCGCCACACGTGCTTCCGGTGCATTGCCCTGCAATGTCCACTTACCTGCGACAGAGGGAGCTAGAGAGACAGATTCTAATCATGTGTGCAGGACCTGGGCGGGTTTAGCAGAAATTCCATCTGGATTTCTAGGCAGATGGATTGTTTGGTTGTTTGAAAGGCAAAAATGTTGCTTTGGCAAAGCTCTCTAACACTGCTATTATCACCCCAGGGTTGGTTTAGGCTATATGTTACTATTCAGGTTTCAAGTTGTGACAATTTCGGAGTTACATTTTTCACAATCAGCTAGGTTTGTCTTACAGGGTTATTCACTAAAGTGCGAATTATTTTTATATAGCGCCAGCAAATTCTGTAGCGCTGTACAATGGGTCACAGTGAATTTCAAATTTAAGGCAATAACAGATTACCGTATATACTCGAGTATAAGTCGACCCGAATATAAGCCGAGGCCCCTAATTTTGCCACAAAAAACTGGGAAAACTTATTGACTCGAGTATAAGACTAGGGTAGGAAATGCAGCAGCTACTGGTAAATTTCTAATTAAAATTAGATCCCAATAAAATTACATTAATAAAATATTTTTTTACAGTGTGTGTGTATATAATGAATGCAGTGTGTGTTTGTGTAGTGTGTAGTGTGTGTATATAATGAATGCAGTGTGTGTGTATAATGAATGCAGTGTGTGTTTGTGTAGTGTGTGTGTATATAAAGAATGCTGTGTGTAGTGTGTGTATATAATGAATGCAGTGTGTGTGTGTGTATAATGAATGCAGAGTGTGTTTGTGTAGTGTGTGTATATAATGAGTAGTGTGTGTGTGTATAATGAATGCAGAGTGTGTTTGTGTAGTGTGTATATAATGAATGCAGTGTGTTTGTGTAGTGTGTGTATATAATGAATGTTGTGTGTAGTGTAGGTATATAATGAATGCAGAATGTGTGTTTGTGTAGTGTGTATATAATGAATGCAGAATGTGTGTGTGTGTGTGTTTGTGTAGTGTGTGTATATAATGAATGTAGAGTGTGTGTTTGTGTAGTATATGTGTATAATGAATGCAGAGTGTGTGTGTTTGTGTAGTGTGTGTATATAATGAATGCAGAGTGTGTGTGTTTGTGTAGTGTGTGTATATAATGAATGCAGTGTGTTTGTAGTGTGTGTATATAATGAATGCAGAATGTGTGTGTTTGTGTGAATGCAGTGTGTGTATATAATGCAGAGTGTTTGTGTAGTGTGTGTAAACTGGGTGGGGGAGGGCATTTTTATTATTTTTAATATTATTATTTATTTTTTTACAATTTTATTTTAATATAATTATTTTAATATTTTTTTAAATATTATTTAAATTATTTTAATACTTTTAAATTTTTTTTTTTTTGTCCCCCCTCCCTGCTTGATACCTGGCCAGGGAGGGGGGCTATATCATTCCCTGGTGGTCAAGTGGCATGGTCTGTGCAGAGGGGGAGCCGGTAGCAAGCTGTTACATACCTTGTCAGCAGCTCCGTTCAGCTCCCCTGTGTAACTCTCGCGTTTGCTTGCCACGTTGCAACGGTAACCCGTCGCAATGCTCTGATGGCCACGGGTCTCGCAAGAGTTACACAGGGGAGCTAAACGGAGCTGCTACAAAGGTATGTAACAGCTTGCTACCGGCTCCCCCTCTGCACAGACCATGCCACTTGCTGCAGGCCCCCAACAGGACCGCCGGGCTTGTAATGAGCCCGGCGGTCCTGGTCTGTATTATGGCAATGTAAGTTGCCATAATACAGACAGTAACACGAGTATAAGCCGAGGGGGGCTTTTTCAGCACAAAAAATGTGCCAAAAAACTCAGCTTATACTCGAGTATATATGGTAAATTGAGAATTATATAATTCAGTTATGCTTCCAGTTCAGCCACTTAGGCCTTAAGAGCTTCTTCAACCTTGGCAAATCTATATATATTTTTTTAGCTGAAAATTAGACGCCCTCACCCCCTTAAAATTGGTAAAAAGACATTTACTTACCTGGAATGTAACTGTGGGATAATCTCTTGGTGTTGATTTTCCATGTCTCATCCCAACATCATTCAGGACGTGCGCAGTCCAATCATAGGCTTCTCATAGACATATGGCATAGACCATTTCGTATGTGCTCTGCCTGCAAAGGGAGGAGTATTACACCTGTCTTAAGCATGCAGTGTGTGCTGACGACAGACATAAAATATGCACAGAATTGATATTAGGTAGCCCGGAACAGCTATGTCACTTGAGTTGGGATTGAAACAAGCAGAAATACTGCACGTCCAGACTTCTTCCACCATGATCTCTTCAAATCACTAAGTGGTCATGGTGGTTGGAGTAACAATTTAAATTTGAAATTCACTTTGAATTCTCACATTAGTGAATAACGCTGCAAAGTTTGCAATTTGTTTTTCAGTTCATTACAGGTCACAGTTTAGCAAATAAACCATAATATCTTGCATGCTCTATGGTACAGTTGTATGCTCATTTAAAGTTTATTGTGATTTTCCACGGGATCCTGCTTTCCTAGAATAAAAACACTGGGCAGAGAGTCTTTAACGACAGAGGCAATTGTACACGCAAAATAAAACCTAGAATTTGTGCTATGTGTTTCTTTGTTCCACCGTAATTTAAGGGTTTCTCTTTAAGTGCCCCAATACATATTATATATTGTTTTTTTAAAGGACAGAAAAGGCTTTCTTTTATGAATGTGCATGGGAAAAATATTCGGTTCGGCATTCCGAAATTCGGGACTTTGGCACTTTAGTTCGGAACTTCAGCACTTCGGAATTTCAGGACTTCAGGTAAGTGTAGGGTTAGGGTAGGGGAGATCACTAAGGGAAAGGACAGGTGGGGAGAGCACTAATGTACTGGAGGGAGGGAATATCAGTAAGGCACAGGGGGCCAAGGGAGAGCACCAAAGGTCAGGAGGGGAGGAGAGAGCACAAAGGGACAGGAGGGGAAATCACTAATTGATAGGAGGGGAGAGCACTATAAAAACATTTTTTATTTTTTTTTAAAGAGCTGCTACCCTCTCAGCCCCTATCCTACCCCACAAACCCTCTCTTTTACACTACACACATACACAATGCATTTTTACACATACACAGAAACATACAATGCATCCCTACACACACACAGACACACTGCTTCTCTTACACACACAGAAACAAAATGCATCTCTTAGACACACTCAATTAAACCCTTACAGACACACACTGCATTAAATTACAAACACAGAAATACATCTTGCATTCCTTACACACACACACACAGAAACACACAATGCATTCCTTGCACACAAACACACACTGCATCCCCTATACACACATTACATCCCTTACACAAATTGGTATCTGTATACACTACATTCCATAAGAACACACACACATTACATCCTCTACAATAACAATAACACATCCCCTACACACATACACTCCACTCCCTGTGAGAGAACTCATGGGTGGGCCATGTAGGTGGATTTATGGGCAGGCCTTGTAGGCATACTCACGGTCAGGGCCTGGGAGCCCAGACGTTGAGCTGTGTAAGGGGCCCCAAAAATGGAGCTGCTTCCTGTTTGTTAATTGTTGTGAGCACTGTTACAAACAGTCTTCGGAGTGCCTCTTCTACACCAGACCTGTGGAGCTAGACTGCAGCCTGAGCCCATCATCATCCTATTGTCCTCATCTGGTGGTAAGTAGGCAATCCAATATATTATTAGTGGCACTAATCTCTAATTTACCTCACATTAAAGGTCCACTATAGTCACCAGAACCAGTACAGCTTAGTGGTTCTGGTGTCGATAGCCCATGCCTGCAGGCTTTTTAATGGAAACACTCTGCTTTTTCAGATAAAAGACACTTTGTGCAGAACTGGTGTTGGCCCATATGGCAGATCATATGGGTGGGGCATTGTGATGTCACATGTTGGGCAGAACATATGGGGTGGGGTGGGGTGCGGCAAAAATCCTTGCACCGGCCCTGGCTCTTACAGCCATAATACTGGCAAAGCATCAGGGGAGATGTAGTCCACAACATCCTACTCCTACTCCTGCCCCACACTATACACGAACACTATAGAGAGAGACAGGGCCGCCATCAGGGGGGTTGTCACGGGCCCCATGTGTAGCGGCGGAACTGCCGCCGGTGCAGTTGCACCAGGGCCCGCATGCTGTTGGGGCCTATCGGGTGGCCCACGTTTTAAGGCTACCCAATGGGCCCTATCTCTTCAGGGGCCCGGTCAGCGCTGCGCTGGGGCAATAGCGCGACCGGGCCCCTTTAAAAAAAATAGCAGCCGTAAAGTACTGCTGGGAGGAAGTGGCTGTCACTTCCTCCCAGCTCCGTCCGTTCCGAGCTGCGCGGGAGGCAAGAAAGCCAGGCCAGGGGAGCCACGCCGACTCCCATTAGCCACAGCCTTCCACCTGCAAAAAAAAAGGTAAGCAAAATTAGCTGTATATATGTTAGTATGTATGTATGTGTGTATGTCTGTATGTGTGTGCATGTATGTATGTATGTCAGTATGTATGTGTGTATGTCAGTATGTGTGTGTGTCAGTATGTCAGTATGTGTGTGTATGTATGTATGTATGTATCTATGTATGTGTGTCAGTATGTATGTGTGTATGTCAGTATGTATGTGTGTCAGTATGTATGTATGTCAGTGTGTATGTCAGTATGTATGTATGTATGTATGTGTGTCAGTATATATGTATGTACGTATGTATGTATGTGTCTGTATGTGTGTATGTCAGTATGTCGGTATGTCAGTATGTATGTATGTGTGTCAGTATATATGTGTGTCAGTATGTATGTGTGTCAGTATGTATGTATGTGTGTGTCTGTATGTGTGTGTCTGTATGTATGTATGTATGTGTGTCAGTATGTATGTATGTGTGTCAGTATGTATGTGTGTCAGTATGTATGTATGTCTGTCAGTATGTATGTCAGCATGTATGTGTGTATGTATGTCAGTATGTATGTATGTGTGTATGTATGTGTGTATGTATGTGTCAGTATGTATGTATGCATGTCAGTATGTATGTCTGTTTGTATAAGTCATTATGTGTATGTAGGCATGTCTGTCTGTGTGTATGTATCTGT